GTGCAGGTCCACGCTTGATAAGAATGCAGTTTGCGTAGGATGTGTCTATAATAATATATAATATTAAATATAATGAGTTATACAGGATGAGATAAAAGTATGAGATTGGCAAAATATCTCAGGAGTGAGACTACATATAAAAATATTAAGGCAAGATCATCGAAAAATGAATATTTTACGATATCATATATATATATATATATATATATATATACACGACATCCATCTGGAAGCCTTTTGCATTAATGATTTCATAGTTTATGTAAGATTATATTAAACTGAAGTATAAAACAAAACATCTTGTAAACTATTAACTTTTCGACTATTCTACCCTGATAACTTTTTATGCAGAATAGTGTAAGAATTTATATAAATATATAGGGTAGTTCTATTTACAAAATTAAATTAACTTTAAAATGGCCCTTAAATTTCACTTCTAGATTAAGGTCAATGATACCATCAAGAGTTCCACTTTGAATCCTACTACTTTTATATTTTCTTTTTTTTTTATATTTACTCTTCCAGAAATATTTTAGCAGTTCCGTACTTTTTTCTCACTCTGTAGAATACTACATAAACAATCCTTGCAACACTTTTCTAACAATCCTTTGAAGCAAATTAGAAAGAATTAGATAAGAAATTACATGGATCCACCAAGAGTAATAAGGTTGTGCTGATCCTGATAATCAAAGATATCTTCTTCGTTGTGTGTTGTTGCAGGAGTCGGGAGTACCAGTTTGTTCTGGAATCAATAGATGTGTCACCAGCAATTTATTTCGTTCCAATCTGCCAGCCAGAATACCGCACGTCTCTTTGTTGCTCATTGTGTTGGTGAAGGCGAGCTTTAGAAAGTCGTGCATTAATTTAGTTGGCAGGATAACATCGCGCAAAGATAATCCGTCACTCGTCAATAAGGATGGTTTTGTAGAACGATCGATCGTCGGTCTTTTTCTAAATAAAATTTCAATTTTATTTTCATCTTTATCTCCATTAAATTTAAAACTATAAATTAATTATATTCGCAAATATTAAATATACTAAATATTAATATATTAATTTTAAATATTATATTAAAATATTAAATATTAATATATTAATTTTAAATATTAAAATATTAAATATTAAAATATTAAATATTAATATATTAATTTTAAATTAAAATATTAAATATTAATATTTAAATATATCAAATCTTATAATCTTATATTATAATTGACTTATAAAAATGTTATAAATTTTTAATGAATATGTCATTTTAACAAAACTTACATGTCCTTGAGTCCTTTATCATTTCTCATAGGACTTCCATTCTTGGGTGTTATAGATGGCAACTCTTTCACCTCCTCTGGTATTACCATATTTATACTGTTTGCAGTTTTGCTGCTTGAACAGCAGCCAAAGCAGCCAATTTGTTTTTTTTCTTCTTCTTCCTTTTGCCTGAGCAAAAATGTTATACTAATATATAATTCTTCATAATAAAAATTGGAAAAATAAAATAAAAATGAAGAAAAATTTAATTATTTATATTATATAGTTATTAAAAATATATAATATTGAAATTTTTAATAAACACTTAAAAAAACTATTAGAAATAAAAATCTTTTTAATATAAAAAGCTAATTTTATAAGAAAAATTTGATAAAAATTTTTTTTATCATAAAATAAATTATGTATTAAAGATTTCTTATATACAAAAAATACTTTTTATTCTCAATTAATTAATTATTTATGATAATACTTAAGCATATATATCTGCAATTAAATTGTATATAATTATTTTAATTTCTATATAAGAAATGTAAAAAATATATACCTTTGAAGCTCTTCTTGCCTCAAACGTTCCTTTTCGATTTTTTCCCTCTCTTTCAAATCTTCCAAATACTTGTCCAACTCTGCCTGATATTGTTCCAGCAATTGTTTTTTTTCAATTCTTCAGCTTTAGGAATAACAACTCTTAAAGCATGCTTATTCATCATCTTATCCCTGGCTGGTATACTGCCATATTGTGGATGGTTCCCTATTTTGTCTACAAAAAGCCTATCAACATAAAAATATTTAATGTAATGATTATTATATTTAATACTTGGTAATATAATTTTTATATATATATATATATATATATATATATATATGTACATATTATTAGAGTACGCATTTTATTAATAAAGAATTAAGATTATTAATTTTTAATAATTTTATAAATAAAAAAGGAAAAAGTAAAAGAAACAAGTTGAATGCTTCTAATTAATTATTACCTACGTTATAACTTCATGTATAGAATGAAGGCATTCTCGTAGTTGCTATCTTGCATATTCATGTCTGCTAATCTGACCATTTCCACTCCAGTGCGATAATATCTAAAAATTTAAAAATATAATAAAAAATAAATTAAATATTAATATAAAATTATTATATGATATTAAATCCAATTTTTAAATTTGTTTAGTCAAATTCAAATAAATTTAACTGTTATTTATAATTTTATATTACGTTCCATGTGTCTACACTGAATATTTTTATAAAATATTTTTTAATGTATTCGCATATAATAAATATATGTATATTAAATTAAAAATTAATATATTACTTTTTGTTCCAAATTTTCAGAAGTTTCAAAATATATCATTTTTTATTAATATATTTTTATGCAATTAATTATTTACCTTCCAGGTGGAATATTGGGATCAATGTCCACCTTCGAAGCATTTTCCGAAAGATTTTTGAGCCTTTGCTTGGGATCTATAACACCCTTTTCCTTCCAAAGTTGTTGCCTGTTCTTGTCCATTGTTTTTAGGTTATATAATTGTGCCGCCCGATATATGACGAACGTTTGCGAAAAAGAAACGCATTCACTTTCTTTTCAAATTTTCTGGTCTCGAAGAATTTTTCCGATATCTTTCACGGCGTTATTTTGACGCTCGAGACGGGGAAAAATAATAATCGTTCGAATTCTCTCTCCGATCGTGATTCGCCATACTTGACAATATTTATATACAGGGTGTCCGATTTTAATCCATCACCTTTCGTAACTTTGCGGGTCGTCGAGAAAAATGTTTTACAGACAAAGTTGTAGGGGGTCATCTGATGGTGACCTTGAGCTTGACCTTGGGTCAAATTTGAAGGTCATTTGAAGGTCAATATAAAAATTTTAATTCAGAATTCCTACTTCTCATTAAAGAATTAATAAAAAAAATATCCTGCGTAGCAAACTGATGTCATTACATCGAAATGACGTTAAGGTGCATTTTCATGCTGACGCTTGACGCCTGATTCGGGCGTCAAACTGTCACGTGCTTTTCAGCGTCAAAGGATAAAAGCTCAACTGTGTTCAGCTTTGACGCTCGACGCTCGTTTCAGTCAAATCATGTAAATAAATAAAGTGGAAGTTGATTCCGGTGTTTGAAAAGAGCAAAATAGATTCTCACAAGAGATAAAAATCTATTAAATATTAAATTACATTAATATCAATTTAACCTCCAAATATGCTGTTTGTAATGAAAAAATAGAAGAATTGATGATATATATATATAATATTTTTTCCACATATTTAGCAAATTCACATTGTATACACTTGTGGAATGTGTGAGGAGATTTGCGAAAAAATTGAAGGACATAAATGTGTTGAAGGCTACAACCAGGCGTACATGGAATCATTATTTTTATCAGATCATTTATTTTATACAATTTATTGTATACGATTTAGAAAATCAAAAGTAATACATTAAAATTGCTTTGAAAGACTAACCTCAGTGTCAAAGCCAATATCGTGCTGCAGTAGGTATATAGGCTCTCTTATTGCATTCTGCTTAGAAATAAGAGGACCAACTAAACACAGCAGTTCTTCAAATTGAATTGTTGTCATACGTAAATAATTTTGAAATTTGTCTCCATGCAAAGAAAGTGTAGGAAATATAGCTTCATAAAATCCATGAATGTATCGCAATTCAAATAGCGGATAAACCCAAAAACGCTTTTTTTTGTAAGTTTTTTTTTATTCAGCCTCATAATTTCATTAATAATTAAAGTTGCTCCAACTCAGCATGAAAAGGTCCCTTTATTTTGACATTTAATGACGTCATCGATCTCAAAATGACGTATGCTTACTACCTGGGACTTTATTATTATATATAGTGTTTTGGAAAGCTCTTGAGATGAGCCGCAAGAATATATTTTTATTTTGATCTTCAGATGACCTTCAAATTTGACCCCAAGGTCAAGATCAAGGTTATCATCAGATGACCCCCAATAAATTTAATAATTTTTGAAACATTTTTCTCTGCCATCGCTGCCTGCAAAATTACGAGTGACAGATTAAAATGGGACACCCTATATATAGTGCATATAATTGGCCAATCAGGGCAGCAGGAGCTGAAATTTCTTTATTTTGATTGGTCAGTAGAATAATACGTCATCCGATGCGTAGAAATTTTTTGAACGCACCTCTATAATAAATTTTCTCTATTCTAAAATTCCCTTATTTTAAGATCTCCCTTATCTTAATCAGCTGTTTTTTCGTCCAAATTCCCTCTAAAATTATATTTTCTTCGTATTGCGTACTATTTGTGCTTATTAATTTTTTTATTGGACATAAACATGGAAAGGAAGAAAGATTAAATTGGGAATAATGAATTAAATGGAAGTTTTTTATTGCAAGCAATTCCGCTAGTTGAGTTAATATAGAGATATGAGTAAACTCACCACAGAAAATACAGAAGACCCAAATGATGTGTCTCCGCCAAAACAAGCTAAAATATCTACATCTTTCCAATGTAAATTATATGTATTTGTATCTGTTTATACAATTTTATAATTTTATTACAATTTTTTAATTTTATAATTTTATAAATTATAATTTAAAATTTATCTATATAATTAATAAGTTTATAAGTTATAATTTATCTACATAATTTATAGTCTTGTAACTTTACTCTCTTCTTTTTTGGTCAGCTGCTTTCAGTAACTTGAAGAAATCCGAGTTTTTCAAGGAAGAACTGCCAACTCCTGAGACTTCCGCAGCTGCAATTTCCCATAGAACACATACTATCTTAGTCAGTCCGAAGCAGGTAATGCTAGCTTTAAATTGAGTTGATGAAATGTTTTTGTAGAGTAAATTAATGGACAAATTTTAAGGCGATTATTAAGATTTATAAATAAAATGTGTTGTACAATTTATTAAACAACATTAATGTTTTTTGCAGAAAGGTAATCCATTACTGAAGTTTATAACAAATGTTTCATGGGAGTATTCCGATATTGTACCAGATTATGTAATGGGAAGAACTACATGTGCTCTCTTTTTATCAATTCGTTATCATCAGCTTAATCCTGATTATATTCACGAGAGACTCAAATTGTTAGGCAATGCTTACAATTTGCGAGTACTTCTTGTGCAGGTATATATAACTGGTTTATATATTTATTATAAATACATATATATGGATAAATATACATAATTTTTTTTATAATTTTACTAAATATAGAAATACAAATATAATTGTATTATCCTAATACAAATATATTATTTAAATACAAAATTATATTCCTCGAGTTTTGCATATGTATATAAATTAAAGTTTTTGTAATCTTTTGTTATTAAATTATTGTTTTTATGTTATGTAATTAGATTGACGTTGCTGACCCTCATCATGCTTTGAAACATTTAACAAGAATATCCATTCTGGCAGACATGACAATAATGTTAGCATGGAGTGCAGAGGAGGCAGGAAAAATTATTGAAACTTACAAAGATATGAGGCTAAGCCTCCTGATGATATAATGGAACGTAATAATATAGCACCGCATCAAAAAGTAATTATTTTATACTATTATATGTTTAGTAAATAAATATATATATATATATGTGTGTGCTGAATAAAAAAATATATATATTTGTTGCAGTTGGTTAACTCTTTAACAACAATAAGGTCTATCAATAAAACTGATGCAACAACTCTTTTAACAACTTTTGACACATTAGCTGATATTGTGAAAGCACAACCCAATACGTTGGCCTTGTGTCCAGGATTTGGATTACACAAAGCTCAAAAACTTCATAAAGTTTTGCATGAACCTTTTCTACGCACCACAAACTCTTCTACAAAATGAATAATATTAATCTATATAAAATTTATGAATTGAAATTTATACTGATTCAATAATAATTAGATGTAATCATAAGGAGATATTTAAATTGCTTGTAATACTTTAGACAACAATTATGCTAAAAATGATTTATAAATAATTTGATTCTTAAGCAAAGAAATGTGATATATAAATAATTTTAATCTTAAGCTAGGTATCCAACCGCGCAAAACGTTTGCGGACGTTTGTGAACGTCACGAACGCTTGCAAAACCAATAATAATATATTAATAATATAATATAACAATAATAATAATAATAATATAATAATTAATATAATAAAATTTTGCAGGCGTTCGTAATGTTTACAAACAACGTTTGCAAACGTTTTGCGCGGTTGGTGGATACCTGGCTTTAAATATTTTATATTAAAATATGCAACTTGTTTAAAATTAAAAATTCAAAAAAAAAATGGTTTTGAAGAATTTAAAGATACTATATTTAAGGAAAAAACAACTAATTTATATGAATGAGAGCTGTATTTTTTTATATTCTTTTGTTCTTGAAAATGTATGTTTGCTCTTTTTATATGGAATAAAATATATTTATATTTTTATTCAAATTATTATTTTTTAATCTAGATTATTTCAATTGAGACAGTTTTAACTAATTTCTTAATTTATTAGTAGACAGGAATTGGAGAGTGGGGAGGGAAAGGGGAAGAAAATAATAACTATTAAATATTATTATTATTTTGGCAATATTATTCGATTGCTTGTATATATGCACATTTGAATACAATAAATTCAATATGTTATTTACATCATTTGTAAAAATATGACTTATAAAGTTACAGAATTTTCAGATATGTTTATACGATAAAATTGTCTTCCAAGTTCTTATATACAATTGATCGTCAATTAACAATTATAAAATTATAATAACAAATGTATTACATTCCATTTTACGCACACTCTTTAATAGTTCTCTAATATTAAATATAAAAATAAACTGAGAAATAATTTATATTTTATATTTTATATTAGGAATAATTTATTCAAACATACACACATAATATATATGCGCACATTTCTTATTTATGTTTTTTATATTTTTTCAGTTATTTTTTAAATCTTATATATATATTTACTCATTATTATATATATGTATATTATTGTGACAAAAAGCGTTCTTTGGTATATTTTAATATAAAATATAAAAAGTGACATACAGTCTATATATATATATTTATATATTTATATATGTGTGTATGTGTGTATGTATTTGTGTATGTATGTATGTATGTATGTGTATATGTGTATGTAAAGATAGACTACTATATATTCTTTTATATTTTTTAAGTCTCCTGTTTTCTTATTGCAGTTATATGAAAATATTTACATTAGAAATTATGTAATCTTTTCCCACATTTTAAGCATAAAATTAAATTAGTTTTTTCCCTATTTTCTCATTGTTCACACATTAATATAATATTGATTAATAACATATATTAAAAATATGCCAACCTGATGTCATTATAAATGTTAAAATGACGACATTTTAATGTCTAATGATGTAATTTGACATCAAAATGACATTAAATGATATAAATTCCGCGAAAATATCTCTATAATAATTAATTAAGATTTTTGTAATTTTTGATAATTATATATTAATTTTTACCAATCAAAAAAAGATTTATGTCACAAAATCTACACTATGAAATGTGCGTATGAGACAGAGAAAGAATAAATGGTACAATAACACGAAAAAACTAATTTACTTTGCAAGAGAAAGAGATTCACTTCGAAGATTGATTTCTTGCCTGAGACGAAACGTCACGAATCAATACGACTGCAGTAAAAGAGCCAGGAGCTTTATAAATTAGATTTTAAAAAATTCATTTTCTCTTTAAATGCAAAGGGATATTCAAATTACGAGTCGCGGTACTCGTACGAGGCAGATATATAATATAATAACAATAATTGTCCATGTTGATACACTTAAAATTCGCTATTTGTAGTATTTTTGGAATTTGCTCCAACAGTGCAGAATCATTTATTTCGACCCGAGTCTCTCATCCTTTACCCTTTATTGATTATTACTACACTGTTGATTACGGTCAATAATTGGCTGAAGAAGATTCCAGCAAAAATTGAAATAGATTCTATCGTTGAGAGTGAATTCTAAAAATACTACAAGTGATGTACTTTAAATATTACATCAATATGAATATTTCTCGCATTTCTTGCGCTGGTCCAAAGATCTTTATTTTAATTCCTTTAAGAAAACGAATCGATCTTTACTTTATAGATTATTTTTTACAATATACAAAAAATGATTAAATATGCACAATCATTTATTATATATATATATATATATATATATATTTTTTTTTATATTTTACATTAGATCTCTTTTAATATGTTTCATATTTGGTTTTTTATTTCGCCTCAGAAATTTTATACAAGCTTAGGCCAACAATCAGTTTTTTACAATGTTCATGATTATTGATTTTTTGTTAATTATTGATGTATTGATTTTTTTAAATCAATATCAAATTTTAATTTTATTTTGAAATATGTGAGGCGAAAAAAAAATCGTATAACAAGATGTTTTATACATTTGTGGAAGAGATTTTTTTTCCTTTCTTCCCTTTTATATAAATAATATTCTTAATTAAAGAATATTAATTTAACCGAATTTTAAATATTATTTTGCAGTTACCTTCTTTTAAATTTAATTCTTGTCCTATTTTTTATTTTCGTAATCACACACTTTGAAAGTTATACAAATAATAAAAAATAAAAATATTCAAATTTAAAAATTTATGTATTTTTAAATAAGAGAAAAACCACGTCTATCTTAAACATTTTTTTTTCAATTTTGAAAAACTATGTGGAAAAAAGATATTTTTCAATAACACATACTATTTTTCAAAGTTATGACTAGAATATTTTATATACATTACAATAAAATATTTTAGAGCGCGGTTTAGATGAGCAAATAAATTACAAAATTTGGAATATCGTTATTTCCTGGAAGTCGAAGTATTGAGTCCAATGTCGATTTAAACTTACCTATCGATTGCATTATTAAATAAACAGAATAAGAATAGCCGAATGTATCAGTAACAGGATAACATTGATCGATGTGCAGTCGACGAAGTTGCCTACAATTAGATTAAAATATATATTATTTCAAGTCAAAAATATTCTTATGTATATATATAATATATATATATATTTTAAAATAATTTTGTATTAAAAATAAAATTTTATACATACATATATACATATATTTATATGTAATATATATATATATAATATTTTTGTATTAAAATAAAAATTTTATACATACATACATACTATATATATATATATATATATATATATTTTATTTCAAGTAAAAATATTCTAATATATATGTATATAATATATCCATTTTAAAATAATTTTGTATTAAAATATAAAATTTTATACATATATATAAATATATATACATATATATAATTATTGTCAGAAATTAATTATATATATTCTTTAAGAAAAAACAGAGAGCAATACAATAAATTATTTTAAAATATATATACATATAATATATAAAAATTAGATTGATTACAATTAAAAAAAGTTGAGAAAAAAAGCAGAAATAATACGGACTGCAATATTGCACAATAATGAACAAAACTATTGAAAAATTGCTACAACACAAAATAGAGCAAAATAAAATCTCTTTTGTTTCACTATTATATTAATTTTATAAAATAAAATATTATATATTTATTATATATTTATTTTTGTCTCTTTTTAAGTGACAAATCGAAAATGACAATGAAATGCTACTATATATTGTATATACGTTATCTATAATAGTAACGTCAAATATATTTAATGCTTCCGTTTCTTCCCCCCCTCTTTCTTTTTCTTTCTACTTTTTCCAAAATGTATCACATATATTATAATATAATGAAAAATGTTTTCCACGTTTGAGCATTTTTGTAAAATTAATGGGGCCAATAATTGAGCGCGTTACAACGGCCGCGGGTAAGTTTCATAAATATGCATAACCATAATGAAAGCCACTTGAGCGGAATGCATATGCATTAATGCATAGACATTAGTATATGTATATGAGGGATGCTAATATTGCGCGAGGATAATTCTCCGCTGAAAGGTATAATACTAATGGGCTTTCGCCCGTTTTGACTTTCATTGGATAATACATGATATACCCGAGTAATATTAGTGTCAAGAAGGGAAGAAGAAAATATGATAGACCGGTGTGGAATAATTAATTGGAAACCGTTATAAATTCTCTGCAAACGTATTATTGATATCAAATAGAAAATTAATGAGAGCTAGCTCATCAGTGTCATATTTCTCTACGCAAGAGATGATAAGAATATACGTATAAGAAGAAATACTTCGATTTTCATTATAATAAGAAGCAGGGTTGGGCAACTATAGTTATAATTAGTTAGAAGTGAAAAAAAGTTAAAAAGTTAACAACTTAAACTTATTAACTTTTTGTCTAAGTTAATTTTTTTTTATCTCTGAATACCATTATTGTTTTTTTCATTAAGTTATAATATATTTTTTTAAAGTGGTGCAGGTAATTAAAAAAAATGCAGCCTCAGGTAATTTTAATATATTGTTCTGCAATGTAATATAGAATTATGTGAATTTTTTGGAATTTTTTACCGTCTTGTTTTGAAAACAATTGACTCAAAAAATTGTACTTTTTAGCATAGATTTATAAGGAAAATGACATAGTACAATTTTAAAATAAAAAGAATGAAATAATGCAAGAAAAGTGCAAATAATAACGAAAAAAAATATGCACATATAATTTAACAATTTACAATAAATGAGTAATTAATTATTAACAGAGAAATAATGATTAAAATTAAATTGCCTGATTTTTCGTCTGCTAAAATAATTAAACGCAAACAAATAGGGCAACAGCCATAAAATATTAATATCGATTATTCGATGTCTTTGTACAAAAAATATATTTAATAAAAATCAAAATTTCTTTGTTATTTGTTATTATAAATTTAAAAGACTTATTAACAAACAAAATTTTAATTTAATATAATATGTTTTTAAAAATTAACTTTAGATTTAACTTTAGTTAATTTAATCTTAACTTTCTTTAATTTGAGTAAATTTTTTGTTCATGCAATTTCAACTTAACTAAATTAATTTTATAAGTATAATTAACTTTTAACTTAACTTAGTTTAAAACAATCATTAACTAACCCAACCCTGTTAATTTGTAATGAGTAAGAGAAATTGTTCTTCTTGGGGCTCTTTTGAGGAAAAATATTATATATATATATATATATATATATATATATATATATATTCTTTTAAAATTTAAAATATTATAAAAATATTATAAAATATTATAAAAATCTCGATTGATTCTCGGAGTTTCTCGAGATGTTGAATTTTTTAAGTTTTCATAAAAAACCTATTAACAATGTTATATTTCATATAATATATCCTTTCTTTTAAAAATTAATCTTTAAGATTTTTCAGATTAATTACGGCATTAATTTATAATCAGATCGATGATTTGCAGGATTGGGTAATAAAACTAGTTAATAAGTTAAAAGTAAAAAAAATTGTTAAAAAGTTAATAACTTTTAACATATAGTTTAGTTTATTTGGTTTTAGGAATATTTAAAAATTGTTTGTGATATTTTTTAGAATATTTTAAAAAACTTTTAAAAATATTTAAAAAAATGTTCTTTAACGCTCAGATAATATTTTCTTAAATATTTGATACATATGTTTGAAATATTAGTTTAAATTTATATCCAAAAATATTTTTTTAACATGAAAAAACGGGCATAGACCATTATTGTTTTTTTATAAGGTATAAATGTATTATTTTCAAATTAAAATATTATTAATTCTTGTATTCATTTGTCATCGATTGTAATTACAAAAATATACTTCTATATAAAAATTTGTTTATTATAAATTTTGAAAGAATTAACAAACAAATTCTAATTTAATATAAATAATGTTTTTAAAAATTAATTTTTGATTTAACTTTAATTAATTTAATCTTAACTTTATCTGAGTTAATTTTTTGTTTATGCAACTTTAACTTAACTAAATTAATTTTATAAGCAATTAACTTTAACTTTAACTTATTGTTAATTTTAAAAAATCATTAATTTACCCAACCCTGATAAGAATAAGTAATAATTCAAGAATTTCTAGAAGTCTCAAATAATAAAACCGAGAAAAAAGAAATTACAAATGCCATATAAAAATGTCAATGTCCTAATAAAAGTCAACTTGTGTTTACTTTCGTCTATTTTAACTTTTATTGAATGATACATGATATTATCCACACAATATTATTAACGCCAAGAGAAGAAGAAAAAATAGAATAAGTAGTGGGATCAAAAATAAAATAAAATGTGAATAATTTCTTGAGTTCTGTCATAAATTCTGCAATGTATTTTATATTGTTGATATAAATAGAAAAATTAATAAAGGTGTCATATTTATATTTACGCAAGAGATTATAAGAAATATATATAAGAGAAAATATTTCGATTTTTAATAACAAGAAAAAATAAAAGAGAAAATAAAGTACCTATTTTGATCTTTAATACAAGAATAAAATAATAAAATAAAAAATAGAATATAATGTAAATAATTGAGTTCTGTCATAAATTCTGCAACATATTATATTAAGAAATAAATAAACTAATAAGATCAGTGTCGTATTTACGCAAAAGATAATAAGCAACGTATAAAAAAGAGAAAATACTTCGATCTTTAATAACAAGAAGAATAAAATAATAGAATAAAAATGAATAAATGTAAATAACTGAGTTTTGTCATCAATTCTGCAATGTATTATATCATACCATTTACACAAAAAATAAACGTATAAATAAGAGAAAATACTTCGATTTTTAATACAATAATAATATATATATATAGTAATTCAAAAACTAAAAATGAGAACAAAAGAAACTATAAAATGATGACTGTAAAAAAAAGTCCATGCTTGCATGCTATCAACAATAGATAAATAAATAGAAGAATCGATTGGGTGCTTTGAAGTGCTTGGGGCAAATTTGTGGCAAATTTAAGCGAGCATGAAATGAATACACAGGTTCGAAAATTCTAAAAATCTTCGATCAAAAAGTACTGGTTAATGGTGATGATTTTTTTGGTGCCGAACGTAATATTTTTAACAAAATTTACGATTAATCTTACCACCACCATTACCGGAGCTGTATAGGTCCTGGATATCCATTTTATGCTGCGGAATCGTTGTAACAGATGAAGTAGTAGTAGCCGTTCCTGTACAACACAAAACCAAGCATAGACATTTCTACCTAAGGCGTAGAGCCCCAAGTATAGCAAATTCACGTCATTAAACATCAAAATGACGTCATTAAACGTAAAAATAACGCCATTTTGACGTCTATGACATAATTGGACGTCTAATGACGCCATTAGACGTCAAACTAACTATATATTTGTTATACTTGGCGATTTATTAGATAATGGTCCAATCATCCCTAATAGCAAACAAAATATCCGAAAGATATTCATAGGATATTCAGAGGATATCCAGAGGATATCCTTTGAATATTCTCTGAATGTCTTTAGGATATGTATGCTGTTAGGGATAGAAATTAGAAAAAAAGATTCGATTACTATGCATGTACTATGTAAGAAAAAATATCAACATAAATCGGCAGTGTGTTAGTAGAAGTATTTAAAGCGTATAAAAAATACACAACTAACTGGAATAGTATATGGATTTTCGAGACACGGTGTAGTTTGCTCTCGGGATGTCGAGAGTACATCTAAGTTCTGCAGCTTCTGGTAGTTCCTCGTCTAGCAAATCTACTCGTGATAAGATGTTATACAATCCATCTTCACGAAGTGTTACTGTGGGTCTTGAAGTTTGTTTCTCTGGAAGATCCCTGTAAATATTATCCATTATTATACAATAATAAATTTTGTACAAGAATCTTTTCTTTTTGTAAGGATAAACATTTTTTACCTTACACATTTCTAACAAAAGGTTTTTCCTAGAAATTAAAGCATAATTTAATAAATTAAAAAATTGTAAATTAACAAAATTTAAAGAGACAGATTTAGTCGAAATTATAAAGTGTGATAAATGTCATTTAGTTTTTATAATTAGAAAAAAGTATTTAAAAGAAGTATTTATAAATTTTGAATTTTTAAATAAAAGTTGGAATAAGACACGTTAAACAAAAATAATGTTCCAAGTAGCAAACTAACGTCATTATAACGTCAAAATGATGCATATGATATTTAGCTGCTACCTGCTATGCATAATTAAAATAATGTGCAAATCAATCCCTTATAAAATATATCACTAGTAACGCCAATTTATCACTTATTTCGAGTACTAAATTATTGTATATCAGTATTTTAAGTACTCGAAATAAGTGATTAATTGGCGTTACTAATGATAAATTTCTATAAGGGATTTAACGTAAATCTTTGAAACATCGATAATTTGAAAATCTTTTATCTTTGTAAAAATACTTACTTGACTGAAATATCGAGAATTGGCTGAGGATAAACACCTTCAGCCATACATGTCGCTTCCAACCCATCTTTGTCATCTATACTCTTTCGTTGATATTGAAATTTGAACTTTTCCTCCGTTCTATAACAAAGATCATATTTAACGTTGACAAATCACATTATATTGCTATAATTTTTTGATGTAACATTACTATTTTATTATATACTATTACTTTTTATATATTATTTAATTATTATATTAAATAATTTAATTATTATATTAATTATAAATATTATATACAAGTTATATATTACACTGTATTTTTTTTATTATTTTTTTCTTCACATACAGAATATTTAACGTACAATTGAATATTTCATTAATTTATTGAAATTAATCTCTTTTTACACATTAAATAAAAAACTCATTTAAATCAGCAATGTTTTAGTTTGAAAACGTATATTTTTGAAATATGAAAATGTATGAGCTGTGAATATTTTATAAAATTTAAATGACTCGTATTATATTATATATATATATATATATATATATATATATAATTATTGTATATAATCTAAGTAGATTAATATAAGTATAATATTTTGTACATACACCACATATATACATATATATTAATAATTATATAACTTAATAATTTAATATTTATTATTATTCAATACTTAAATAACTTTAATAAATTTATTTATATAATAATTAATTAATAATATAATAATGATTCATATGATAATAAATAAATATAATGTATTTATATACTAAATAATGTATATTAATTAATAATTATATAATAAATTAATTTAACTAAATTGTAGGCCTATAAAAGCAAAAAATAAGTTGCAAAAAAATAATAAACAAATATTAACACAAATGTCGCAGAAGTATGTATTTAATAAACTATGGCGGAGAAAATAAAAAAAAAATGTGCGAGCACAGCGTTAAAGCGTTTGCTCTAAAAGGGTGTGGAAAGAAAGTACATACTCCGCTTTACCGCGTAAATTGAAACCTGGCGTAAAACAGGAACCACGTAAATAAAAGCGCCCGGCGCAAATTGAAGGATTTGCGAACGCATAAAAGTGGAACGGCACCAAAGAAAATTTACGCTACCACGTGAATTGAAAACCGGGCATTTGAGAGAAATAAGCCGTCTGATTTTTTAAATCGGCGATTTTTC